GGCACCAGCACCAGCTCTGCCGCTGTCGTTGCCATCGCCGTTGCCGTCGCCGTCGCCGTTGCCGTTGCCGTTGCCGTCGCGTCCTCTCGAGGCGCCCGGCAACTGCCACTTCGGCCAGCGGTACCAACCGCCCACGGATCCCTGCCACCTGCACCAGTACACCCGACTGCCTCGGCTCGCCGAGCCCGGATACACCCTCAGCGTGTACGGCCTCTCGCTGCCTTCGGTACCAAACGCTGCCGCCGACGCAGCCGCCGTCTCCTCGTCGTCGGCTGCCTCGGCCACCTCCTCCTCCTCTTCGCGGCCGCACAGCGAAGCCGCCAAGACGGCTCGCTCGCTGCAGCGCCAGTTCGCCCCGGCGCTGGCGCTCGCTGCCAATTGGCCCGTCGCCTCCGCCGGGAGCCCCCCAGTCCCGGCCGCCTCTCATTGGCCCGACGTCTGTCCCCCCCGACCGCCCTTCTGCCTCTGTCCAGACTCTACTCTACCACTCCTTCCGACCTGTCTTCACCTCCCGACGTGTCACCATCACCACCACCACCACCATCACCACCATCACCATCATCATCATCATCATCATCATCATCCCCATCACCAGCCCCAGCAACTTCAGCATCGGGCCCAGCAACTGCACCAACACCGGCAGCCCCGGTTGTCCGGCTACATCAGCTACTCGGCCTACCAATTGGAGCAGGAGCAACAGACCCACGACCGGCAGATGCGACGAGGCGTGGAGGAGGCGAAATCGCTGATGCGCCCACCTCAACAGACGCCGTACATGTTGCCGCTCTGCTTTCAGCTGGCCGCTTGTCTGCAGACAGCCTCACGCGCCTCCCTCACCACGGCCGGCCTCCTTCCGGCCTCTTGTCATCTCTGCTCAGCCCACACGACGCCGCTGCACCTGACGACATGTGCTTGTGCCTGTCTGGCCGGTTGCCGTGGCAGCCGTCGCTCGTGCATCTCCGATCGTCAGATGAGCAGTCAAAGTCCACTCGAAGCCGGTCGGCATGGCTCCGGGCCACTGACGAGCCGGACAGACGAGGCCAACTCGGAGAGCCTCGCCAACAGCCTAGGCGACCCGACGCTCGGTCAATCCTCCATCGACACGGCGACAACAGACCCGACAGAGACGCGTCAATCGCTCGGGTTGCCACGGCAACCGACTGGTCGAGGCGATTTTGTGTCATCTTCGGCCTCGGCGTCCGATATGTTTCACTCGGCTGCGGTCAAGTCGACCGAGGCCGATGACTCGACTGGTCACAATCTGAAACCGCCCCAGCAACAGTGCCACAACCTCGTCGGGCTCAGATCCCAGGTCTGTCGGCGTCAGCTCAATTTGCCGTCACGACGACGCATACACTTGGCCGAAGAACTGGATCGAGCCTGCCACCAGTTCAGCGTGCTCCGGAGACTGCTATCCACTTCGGTCAGATACCCGCAGCTGCGTCACCGAAGACATCAGTATCAGCATCAGCGTCGTCGCCATTTCTACGCTCAGCGTCACCATCACAACCGACATCTGTACCAACATAAAGTGGAAAAAGAGCTCTTTCATCACAAGTTTGTGTGTCATCAACCCAACGGGGACCTTTCACCAACAGCCGCACTTCAGCCCCATTCCTTCAAGCCGCACAACTTCAAACTGGCCGGTTTTTTGTGTGAAAACCCTGTCGACCAGTTGCCCCTGGGACAAGCCATGCCGACAAACATGTCCACGGATGACGCAGTTGTCAAGACTTCCTCGGTCTAGTTAATGGTCGGACGTATGAGGCCAAATCAACCGCCAAAAGGAGACTCAGCAAACCGTAGCTGCCAAATTACGCCAACTCGGCCATCACACGAAGGACATAGTTGGCCACAGATGCAC